GGTCGGTTTCAGGTATAGGTAAGAGGGAGGTCGGCCGCAGGCTTCAGCTAGGGTAGATTTCAGGAGGATGAAGTTGGACGGTTAGGGATTCCGTGGTTTGGAGCTTCCGGGTGGAGGTTGGTCGATACCTCTCTCTCTCTCTCTATCTTGGCAAAAGATCGGGCAAAGCAGGCTGACGACAGAGAGAAGGTTCGGCCCAGGAGGTTCGGTCGCAGGGTCTCGTGGATGGAGGAGAATAAAAGATATGGTCGTGGCTTTGCAAATGGGAGATTTGAGCGTGGAAGGGGTTTCGTCTGTGTGTGGAAGCGAAGCAGCTACGGGAGTTTGGCTGGGGGATTCGCGTGTGTGAGCCGTGAGGCTTCGTCCTATAGTCGTATTTAACGACTCAAGTGGAATAGTCGACTCTACGAGCGGGAATGGGTTGCTGACATCGCGCCGATTGCAGAGGTATGGGGGTAGGTATGGGGGTGACTGTAGAAGCGATGAGAGCAGCGATTCAGGATGGATTTGGCTACAGGTAATTATTTCAAATAATTTTTTTTTTATTTCTTTTTCTTTTCTTCTTTGGATGCATAGTAGAGGTCAACATGTACATAGAAATTGATTAAAATGTTTCTATAGCTGCTACTATATGTACTCCACTAAGTTACCTTTGTAGTAGGACTATTTTATGATTTTAATAGAATAATTTCTTTTATTTACTAAAGCCAGGATTGCTGCTAGAACTAAAATAATTTGTAGCTTTCATCTAATTCATTGCATAAGTGTTGATTGGTTGAAAATTCAAAGCAATAAAGTATTATGTCTTAGCTTATAGGAAGATCCTATTCATACAGATAGAGAGAGGTAAGTTGCATGAATCAAGCTGACAATATTTTTAATGTGGAAAATTCAAAAAGTTGAAAATAAATAGGCTTGCTCGAACAAAATATATTCATTAATTGTGTTTTGAGTTTACAAAGATTCAACCATCTTTGTTAACTAGAGAAGATAAGGATATAATATAAAATTTAGTTGGAGACAATCTCTTGAGGTAGCATTAGGAGTTGGCAACATTGATGAAAGACATTGGGCATTGGCCGTCGATGTTGATGAATGATGATGATTGACATTTTGTGTTATGGCATCATCGAGTGATGTTCAACCACAAATTCAGGTAGTAAATGTTTTGTATCGGTGAATGGTTGATGATTGACATAAAGGGTATGATGTCGATCAATAGAAGTTTGTATGCTAGTGCTAGTTGGTGGATAGAGGGCGATTATTGTTGTGGAGTAGGATATTAATTAAAGGACATTAGTTACCGTAGGTGGAAGACGTTGAATGGCGCTAGGAGTATTGACCTTTGTACAAGCTCAACAGCTCGATCCATTCTAATGTAAAACAAACAATGTTTTAGGAATGCTCCATCTTGCAAGTATGGTTTGAAATATCACGACCCCGACCGGTGAGCTCGTGTAGACGAGGCGGGAACGGAATCAGACGTTCAGAACATAAACTTCTCTTAAAACACTTCACAAGAAACTAAAAGCGCCTCTAAAATTTTCCAAATATATAATAAACATTGCATATCATTTTGTATTATTCAAATATACAAATGTGGCTTTAAAATTTCTCAAACATGCCAAATCATCCAAAATGTGTAAACATCAACTAAAAAAACATAAGAGGAACTTGTCATCCAGTCCTCTATGACTGTAGGTGAACAAAGGACGATCAGCCATTCTTTGCAGCTGGTTCTCCTGAAAAATATCCCAATACGAGACAGTGAGCTAACGCTCAATAAGAAACACTAACCCTAACATCTTCACATGTCTTTTATAAAAGAAGATTTACATGTATGCTAGAAGTGTAAAGTCTTGATTGTTTTGCTACATATGCTAGTTCTAGTTCATATGTCTTATGTATGCCATGTGTCTTATGTATGTCATGTCTTATGTATGTCATATGCCTTATGTATGCCATGTGTCTTATGTATGTCATATGCTTATTCATGCTTTATCTTATACAACCGTATCGGAGTACCAAGAGTGTACTGATCAGGTACACAAACATCTTTTTGGCCATTCATTTCCTTTCATCTTTTTCCTCAAATGGCCATATTGTTTCGTATTGCTCATAAAAGCCACATTTTTACTTTCGCACCATATTTGGTACTCCGCCTTCAACATGCACAATTATTTACATATTCTTTCCATATAAACATATGTATGTAATGTAACATTTTCATAACAACCATATGCCTTGAGCATGAAGTAAGTACATGAAGAAAACTTCTATGAAATGCTTAGAATTTTAAACATCAACTATGCATTGATTCATAAAAACATTTCTACATTTCTATCAAATAATAAAGACATTTCATATGCATTTGCGATGCATCAAATCAACTAAAGAATAAAAATATAAAGGAACAATAAAAACATAAAAGAACATGAATATATAGAGTAAGAGGTTCCTATCTCAATTGTTGCCCTTTGAAAGCGTCGCTTCACCAACCTCTTCTTAATTCATCTTTCCCAAAACCTAAGAGAAAATTACAACATAAGCCTCTTATATCAATTCAAATCACTATATCATACTAACCCTATACATGCCATAGCTAATTATCTCCCTTAAACTTATTATACTCATTCTCTTACCCATATCCTAAAGATAAAAGGGTACAACAATAACAACAACACTAGATTTGTCATAACATTATATAGCATTTATACATCATCATCCCTACACTATTCATGATTTTAAATAAATTATTTTCGGATTAATACATAAAATAATTAGGATTTTTTTTTCTTTTCAAAATCTCATTCTCTCTTAATTAGAGACCTCCCATGACCCATAGGAATAGAATTTGTGAACATACAAGCTCCAAATTACTAAATTTGGAAAAAACCTAATTTGAAAAACTTCAAGATCTTTAAACTAAAATCAATTTCTTGCTTAAGCATGCTTCTAAACATCTCCTAACAACATTCTTAAATAAAATCTCATTTAAAAACAAAATTCTAATTTTTGGAACCTAGGTTTTTCCTTAAGAAACCTCATGCTTATGACTTAGAAATAGGGGTGTCAATTTCAGGTAATAGGTCAGGTTCGGGTCGAACCCGGAACTGACTCGGCCCTATTCGGGTCAACCCAAACCCGACCCGTTTTTGCAAACGGGTTAGAAAATGCAACTCGAACCTGACCTGCCGGGTTGTCAGGTTGACACGACCCGACCCGAAAACTGGGAATGTGAAAGCGAGAAGTGGGACTTGGGCACTGCGGACGTACGGAAGCGGGTGTGGGACTTGGGCGAGTCGGGCCAGGCAGCCATATCGCATACGTGGGCAGCGGCATGGAGCTTGGGTGTTGCGGGCATGTCCTCGTACCACATGGTTGTGGTCCACGGAGTCTTGAGACTTGGTCCCTTGGGAGTTGGGACTTGGTCTGTTGGTCACTTAGGACGGACACCTGCGGAAGCGGGAAGGCAGAAGCACCGAAGCAGGCTAGGCTGCTAGGGCGGTTATGCTGGTTCCGGATTGCCAATTGCGGAATCCGGAAGCGGGAAGGTGAGCGGCTGAGCCCAGATTGCGGAAGTGGGAAGAAGGCTAGGGCAGCTAGGCTGGGCTAATGGACCCGGACCCGGGTCAACTTCAGGTTGATTTCTGGTTTCCGGGTCAACCCGAACCCGACCCGTTTTTGAAAAGGGTAAAAAATCCGAACCCGACCCGTTTGCTAACCGGGTCGACCTGAACCCAGATTTT